TTTGGCTTAGAATCCTTTACTGGACCTGCTAACCAGTCAGCCAATTCATCTATAGATTTGTTTTGCAAAACATCATGCGTTCCATTTCTTTTTTCCTCAGTTACCACCTGAAGTTGTGCGATTTCCTCTTGATATTTATCAAGCAAATCATTAGAGTGTGGGTATGGTATTGTGTCTAATGTTACTCCTTTAAGCTCTGCAAGTTTGGCTCGAATTTCTTTACGAATATTTGCTTACTAGCTTGACGAAATAACATCTTATATTAAATATCTTTCGCAATGTAATAATATCTTCAGAAAATTTTTATTCAATTAATTAATTCTCCTCCTGCCTCAGTTCCTCAATCATAGATTTTTGAACAACTTTTTTTTCTCCTAAAGGTCTTGACCGAAGGAGTGGGTCTATTTGGCTAATCTGTGATAAGAAAACTGCTTGACCGCTCTAACTACTTTAGACGCAGATATCTCAGGATCCACTGATTGGAATCATACAAATGCAAACTTATTTGGAAGCTTTTGATCAGGACTAGCCAGGCCAGAGGGATTCGAAAAATCATGGGTGCTAAAGCATATGTATACCAAATTGCAGATGGATTAGTGCCGAGGATGTTCTAGGAATATTTCTGTAACTCAATATATATGCATTTATATTACTTGATTTTTTTTGTTTTGCATACATGCTCCGCACCCTTGGTGCTCTGCAACCTCTGTGTACATATCTTGTGTACATATGCTCCACATCTTCGATGTTCCTCAATCTGTTAACATATCTTGTATATATATCTTGTATACATATGCTCTGCATCTTTGATGCTCCTTAATCTGTGAACATATCTTGTGTACATATCTTGTGTATATATGCTCCGCATCTTTGATGCTCCTCAATCTGTGAACATATCTTGTGTACATATGCTCCGCATTTTTGATACTCCGCAATCCGTCGCATCTTTGATGCTTCTCAATCTATAAATATATCTTGTGTATATATGCTCTGCATTTTCGATGCTCTGCAGACTTGGCATTCATATTTGCTTTATAATTTGCATACCATCTGCCCACTTATTGTATTCACAATTTGCTTACCGCTCCATTTCGTTCCGCATACAGTAAGCTTATTTGCTTTCAAAAAACTTATGCTAAATAAAATAACAAATTAGTATTTATACAATTCTAAAGAGTCTAGCTAAGTAAGATTAATAATTAGTATTTCAGAGATTGCGAAATCTCCCACTAGGCAGGAAATATAATTAGTAATTATAATGAGCTAGAGATGCGAGGAATAGAAAAAGAATACAAAGTAATATATCAAGAAGGCACCCAGGATGCTATAAATCCTTAGTGGGAACTGCCCTGTTTTCCCCCCCTGAGACTTAGAATATGATATGCATTTTAGGCTTCTTTCAGCTTTTTATTCTGATTTTTTTTCGCACTTAAAGGTGTAACTTAGCGTATATATACCTTAGAAGTGTGATTTAGAGGTGAGACTTAAAATATGATATGTATTTTAGGCTTACATGATTAGGCCTAGCTCAAATCGCATCACTTTATTCCTTGATTTTCGATGACCCCTCCTAAGGCAAACAGAATAGTAAAAATTTATTGATATATTATTTAGGATTAAAATCAGGCTAGAATTATTATATCAAACAATATAATTCTTGATATCTGAAGGTTAATTCCAAGCCAATTTGATATCATCATCTAGAATTGAGTCAAAACACACTAGAGGATTGAATTTGATATTTTGATTCATATAGCTAAAATTGATTCAGAGGTGAACAGAAATTTTTCTGAGTATTATTTGGATTTTTGTTTCACAACCCCCTTTTTGGTCTATATTCAGATGCAATACTCAGACCTAATTTAGTATTTATACATTCAAAGTATAAGGTAAAATGTTTACTTTGCATAATCTGTTTAAAAAAAAAAAAAAAAAAGTTAATTATAGATTTGTATTAAACACCAAAAAATTATCCTTGTAATAAATAACTTGAAAATCAAATTTCAATAAATTTTTCTGATATGGAAAAAGATTAGTATATCAGATAAACATGATTAAGTCACATGATATAGAATAATATTATTTTTGATCGACAAAAGAAATCCACTTTAGCCACAGTCAATAGTTTAATCTAACAAAATATCTGCTCGAAAAACTAAAAACTTATTAAACTAATTCATTAGAATTCATTTTTAAGAGGAGAAATATTATAATAAATTAAAAAATTATCTTATAGATTACATGATTTTTACTTTGTCACAAAATTCATCCAATCAGCTAAAATTGGCAGATCCTCAAATCCTGTCCAATCTGTCAAAACTGGCAGATTCTCAAAATCTGCTATATATGTAATATATGTCAGGTATATGATAAAAAACCAATTATTACATTTTTATTTTATTTATATTATCAAGTTTCTTATAAAAAAAGTAATTTTAGGACTTTATTAAAGGGGAACATAATCATAATCTAAAGAATTTATTTAGTTTTATCGCTAACAAGATAATTACTAAATACACTTGTATGCAAATAAATACACTTGTAATAATTCTTTTCTTTAATAAAACTCTAAATTACTTAACCTATAAATCATACTTTGACTTGAAATACATTTGATTAATAAACTTTCAGAAGCTCTCCATAAATCTCATATTGTAAGTCTTAAAGCCAAATTCTTTGTTAATCTTGCATTAATACTAATTTTCAGTTGTTAGTATTGTAAGATAACATTACCTCAATTAACTCCTATTTAGACCTAAATAGAGGCTTCCTTTTCGAATCTGACTATCCAAATGGTTCTACAGATTCTTGATTAGATTAAGATCAGGCTTTGCGTCATCTAATCTAAAATTGGAAAGTTATATGTTCTCATTCACCAAACACTGTAAATTGAAGTATGACATGATGCTTTATCTTGCTAAAAAATAGAGTTGGGATAATTGCCAACCTATTGAATGAACTGATTTGCCAGAATATTAACGTATTTATCAGAATCTATATTTCCTTCCATCACAACTAAAGGTTTAACCTCATGCCAACCAAAACACCCCCAAAACATTATTGTAGATTGAATACAATATTCATTATATGCTTCTTCATGACTTTTCAATACTCTAGCTTGACTATCTAATTGAAAAAGAGTGAATCTTAACTCGTCTGACCATACCACTTGTTTCCATTTCTCCACCCAATTTTTTTTCTTTGCACTATTTCAAGTAATTAGTTCAATGTTTTTTGGTTAAATGAGTTTTTTTTTTCAGTGTAACTTCTGAAACCTTCATCATGAAGATAACTTCTAACTGTATTATAGTGTAAAGTTATATTAAGGTGATATTAAACTTGTCTGTCACATCACCTAGAGAAGATAACTAGTTAGTTCATATGATATGTTTTAAAGCTCGGGTATCACATTCATTAGTTTTTTGGTCTTCTAGGATATTGCTTAGGTTCAGTAGAATCTGTTACTTTATACTTTTTTATAATATCACTTACAGTACTAGTTGGTATATTAAGTTGAGTAGAAATGACTATTTGTTTAGTATTAGTAAGATATGCACTGATAATTCATTCCCAGTTAGCTTTTGAAACTTCGTTTTCATACATTAAGAACTAGAAAAGAAGTAAAAAATAATATTTTTGTTATCTTCTTTATTTATATATACTAAACTACATTGAATTACCAGATTTTTTTATATTGTCACCGGGAATAATCTTCTCTGATTACTTTACGTAATTTATCTAAGTTCCTTTACTGCGTTAAGTAACTTCCTTATCGTCGGACTTTACAACCTTAGGGAATCTTACGTCCTACAGGTATCTGAAGTGCCTAGGAAT